TCCCTCTTCCTGCTGCAGGCCGGGGAAAGGTCCAGCCGGGCCGGGATGGCCCCAGGGCGGCGGGGGTTGCGAGGCGGAGGAAGAAGGCGCCGGAGCCCGGCAAGAACAAAGCCACGGTTAAGGGCAGAGTCGTGAAGTCGGCGATAGGTGAGTCCCGACCCAACTCCGGGAGGAGAGGGAAGCAGCCTCTCAGCCCCCACAGCGGGTCCCCTTATGGTGTCCCGCAGCCCCCCTCCCGCCTGCTGGTATCCACCCCTCCCCATCCTCCTCCCTGCCCTTCTGGTGTCCCCCACTTAAACGCAGCCTGAGCTGTGGACCCCTCCCCTCTCCCTGAGCTGTGGCGAGCTCCTCTTTCTCCTGGAGCCTTGCTGATTCCCCTGTGTCTCCTCTTGTGTGCTGCCTGGATGAGCAGCTGATGTGTTTCGTCCCTCTCTGCTCTGACCTAGAGGAGTATCATAAGAAGAAGGCCGTGAATCACTTGAGAGCAAACCTGAAGTACATGCTGAAGGGACGATTTGTTGCAAACAAAGCCGTCACAGAACAAGTAAGACCGTCACTTCTCTCTCTGGGGGTCTGCTTCCACTGAGGAGTGCAGGTGAATGGGGATTGCCCCCAGATCTTCCAGCTTAGACCCTGTGCAATGGAGTCAAGTTATGTTTCTGACTGCAATTGGCCTTGAGGAATTTCTGTGTGCACTGGCAAAACAACTTTAAAATCTTGTTGATGTGTTTTCTCCTCTGATGTTCTCTGATACTAGTTAAAATGTACTGACAGCTGTTGGCTTTTCTTAATTACCAAAGATATTTCATAGCTTCAGCTGGCAAAGAAGCCCTGGTTCAGACCTTCTGTCAATCAAATTGGCCTTCTCTGTAGCTGGAGGCTGTTCAGCAAGGAACCAGATGTGCTGCTGCCTCATGTAATAGGAATTTCATAGCATCTCGAATGATGTTTCTCATCATCTGAGAATTTAACCAATTATCTTTCCCACAAGGTAGTCCCCGTGCCAGGATTGACGAGAAGAGATTGACACTGGTAGAATCATGGGCTATCTTTGAGATACAGGCTGTTAACGTACATAAACAAACCAACTGGTTTAGGCCAGTCTCCAGACTGGAGATTGTGATCTGAGGTGATGGTGTATTAGAAAATGCTGAGGGAATTCCACCAACCAACTTGGTGGGTTTTCAGGCTGTCTGATGGAGAGACAGAAGAAGGTCACGGTTTCAGAAAGGTCTGAATTGAAATCCGTGTTTCTCTGTCTGTGACAGTTACTAGAGAGTAGTTTTCGTATTTGACTCCAAATAGTAAGTTCATATTTGCTGATGTCCCAGTGACGTGCTTTGGTTAGTGTTAGTACTTGCCTCTCACTTTTCTTTGGAGGCATCCTAGGATATAGCAGAATATGAGTAGAATAGCAGGGCTGCTGCAGGTGAGGTTGAAAAATCACCGTTTTGTGGTTTGGTCCAGATAATAATGAATTGTTTTCTCATTTTTTATTGTCTGAAGGTTCTTGCTCAGAACAGAGGCAGGAAGGCCAAAGATCAGCCTCCAAAGAAGGCAGTAAAGAAGAAGCCCGAGGGCACTGTCTTTACTGAGGAAGATTTCCGTAAATTTGAGAGAGAATACTTCGGGAGACCATAAACAACGTGACAGGGATTCTCACAGCTCCAGTGTTTCTGCAGCTGAGTGCTCAGCACACAGGACTGGCCACTTCCTCGGCATGTTTGAGATGGGACACAGGAGATGTGCTTCTGGCAGCAAGTGCTTTGATGTCACGCTTGCAGAGCAGCTCTGCATCTGTGCAGGGCTTGGTACTGGCCAGCTGGAGCCGTGGAGGTTTTCTTGGCTCTGAGATGCATTGTCCTTGTAATTATCTCCCTCCAGCCAGCACGTCTTGCCTTCTTAATGTAGAAGGGTGTACCAAGCCAAATATAAATCTTACTCCCTTTCCTCAGGATGTAAGGCTTCTGCTGCCTGTGTTATTTGGCAGGGAGCATTTCAGTGCTGTATCTGACTGGAGAAGTGTTTTGGACCAGCAGTAATAAATCAAGGGAAGAGAAGGACCCTTTGAAAGGACTCTGAAACCTGAGCAGCCTTGCAGTTTTCTTATTACAGCCTCTGTTGGGTTTTTCAGTCATTGCAAAACCTTTGTGTGTGTCATTTGATTAAATAATTGTTGCAGACGCTGCCTCTCTTTGCCTTTGTAATAGAGATTGTTATGACAGGGTACGACTGATGGAGACAAACGGTGTCGCTGTTCTGATCTCAGCATCCTCTCTTTAGGATGACTTGGTTGTGTGAATCGCCTCTCTCACTGATTCATGCTGACACATATTTAATCTGACATGCTCAGTTCTTCAAAGGGTGCAGACTGGAGTGGAGATGGCTCCTTTGTTTGTCTGCCCATGGTCTTCTCTCCAAGGAAGAGCTGGAGAAAGTTGTCCTTTGGATGCTTGCACCTGAGCCTCCCAGTGAGGTTTCGGCCACCACTGCTGGGCGCTGTCAGCTCCTGTAGCCAGGAGGGTTTGTGACCCAGATGTTAGTCTTGGCATGAAGTTAAATCTTCTGAGCCAGGTGTTGTGCTGGGTTGAAGGGATTTTACTTTTTGTTTGACTACTGCTGCAGCAAATAGAAGGCCCAGCAGGTGGGAGTGTTGTTCCAGACACTCTTCCTTGCTAAATCACTGTAAATACACTTCTGGGCAGCTCCTGCCACTGCGTTTTCTTGCCCTTTACCTGAGAAGATGGGAAGAGTGTTCCCTTTGGAAAAAAAAAAAAAAGGGTAAAGAGGACTAATGCCAAGCTTTGTTTAGACTCAGGAGTTGATTACAAGGGGCTTGGCTGACCTGAGCAGCAGCTATTTAGATGTCAGCACTGGAGGGAATTTGGTGTCCTTTCCCTGCCCTCTGATGATGATTCCTGGTGCAGTCCTCTTAAGTCTGCGCCTCCTCTGTTGTGTTGTCCCTCTTGTCTGCATGGGAGGGAAGGTCACCCAGATGTATGAGGTCCAGACAGGGGAAATAGTGAACATACTGAAGTGTGTGTACTGGAAATTGTGTAATAGTGCGTGGGAGGGAATTTCTTGTAATAGGATCAAGTTCAACTATCTGCAGCCAAAAGTGGTAAATATAGAACAGTTCAAAGACCATTTCCCTTTTCCAGTTTGTTCTTGCTCCCAGGGGGAAATGACTGTTTGCTTCTTCAAATAAGGGAAGCACTAATGCCTGAAAATCACAAAATGTTAGGGGTTGGAAGGGGCCTCTGAGGATCATCCAGTCCAACCCCTCTGCCAGAGAAAGTTCATCTAGGGCAGGTTGCACAGGAAGGTGTCCAGGCGGGTTTTGAATGTCTCCAGAGGAGACTCCACAGCCTCTCTGGGCAGCCTGGTCCAGTGCTCTGGTACCCTCGCAATAAAGAAATTTTTCCTTACGTTTAAGTTGAACCTCCCATGTTCCAGTTTGTGACCATAGCCCCTTGTCCTGTTCCTGGGCACAACCAAGAAGAGTCTGGCCCCTTCCTCTTGACATCTGCCCTTTAGATATTTATAAGATCCCTTCTCAGTCTCTTCCAGGCTAAACAGCCTGAGCTCTCCCAGCCTTTCCTCGTAAGAGAGATGCTCCAGTTCCCTCATCATCTTTGTAGCCCTCCACTGGCCCCTCTCCAGTTGTTCCTTGTCTTTCTGGATCTGGGGAGCCCAGAACTGGACACAGTATTCCAGATGTGGTCTCACCAGGGCAGAGTAGAGGGGGAGGAGAACCTTCCCTCAACCTGCTGGCCACACTCTGCTTAATGCACCCAGGATACTTCTGGGTATGCAGCACGTGTCTCCCTAAAACCTCTGCAGCCTGCGCCTGCTGCAGTGCGTGTGGGCTGGTCGAACACATGCAGCTCTATGTGAAGCTGTCACAGAGATAACTGACAGTGTCAGAAAGGCTGGCTATGCCACAACTTGACTTTTGAAAGCAGTAGATTTCTGGGATGTTGTTTTGTTTCAAGCCCTCACCTTGACAGTTCCTTTGACCTCACAGAGGTCTTTCATGTCACCCCCTGCACCTCCTCTGCCAGTTCCTCCTACACACCCTTGCTTCTGTGGTTGTTCAGCTCCTGGGCCCTTCTTCTGCAGGCTGAGGAAATCAAAACCATCCTTTGTTGCTCCAGAAAGGAGCGCTAGGGTAATGTGGTTCGCTCTCTTTGTACAAAACCCACCTTGTTTGCTTGCAAATGTAAGCAAACAGGAAAGCTGTTCTTGCAAAGTTAATGAGGAACTTTAAAGTGGGGCCCAGAGAACTTTTCGTCAAGGATAAACCCCGCTCCAATCTGTGGAGTTTTGAAGATGGATAGGAGCTCCATTGCTGGCTGGAAAGACTATTAGGGCCAACACGAGTAACCAACATACTTCTTGTGACTATATACCATGAAGCGTTGTATTGTTGAAGAGGGCAGAGGTACCTGACTGCATTTTGCCACCTAAAATCAAACTCAGTTGTACAGCCAACAGTATCCTTAAATAAATTAAACTTTTAACTTGTGGGAGGAAAGAAAACTGAACAGGAGTAAATGGGTAGCTCTAGATAAACCATCTTTTGCAAGGGCAGAGATCTGACATGTTCTAGCCTTGATTTTCCACCTCTCGAGCAGAGCTGGAGCTCCTCCGAAAGAACAGCAGTCCCACCTGCACACTGGATAGGTAAGTGCAGGAGTTGACCCCTCAGGGGAATATCTTCAAACTAGGAGGGTAAATAGGTACCAGCCTGTTGCATGTCCTCGGTGGTAAGCTAAAGCTAAGCATCTCCTCATACTTCCAATTATAATGGCCTAGTCCTGTTTAGAGCATGCCAGCTTCTTGGCTGCTCTGGGACCCCAGGAGATGGCTATCTTAGAGCAACTTGTGCCATCTCTCTGTTCCTTGCAGCCAAACTTTGCTGCCCCTCAAAAGAGCAAAGTGGGGGTCAGGGAAGGAGCAGCTGCCAGAGCTGCTTGCCCTAACTCGGGCTAGTCTGGTTCCCACGCTGGAAGTTAAATCGCTGCATCCCGCAACCCTTGGGGCCTGCCGCACACCTTTTCTCTCTCTGTGCTGCGGGGCAAGGGCTGCACGCAGGCTGAGCTCATCGGGCTGCTGGCTTCCTTCCCAGCTCTGCGGCACCAACTGAGCATCCTGCAGCAAAAAACACGAGGGAGCTGAGCTAGGGACGAAGGAGGAGGGTGCCATCTTACAGCGCACCCCCACCCGCAGGCAGCGGACAGGCGGAATGGGAGGCGGCGGTGGCTTTAATATGAATGCAAATTAAAGCTCTGGAGTGTTATTAATGTGGTAGAAAGCTTTCCAAGGAAAAGGTTTAGAGGAGGCAGAGTAGTTCCCAGATGCTCAGTGTTGAGTTAGCTGCTTGTGAATAAGATTCATCAAGCCGGTTAATGGCCTATTGCTCCCTCAGTTACGCAAATGGAAAGAAAGAACAGAGAAAAATGTGTCTGGATGGGTACAAGCTAATGTAAGCCGATGCAGCCTCTGCTGTACCAGCAAGTCTTTACTTCTTTAGCGTAGAAAGCAACAACAGCTAATATCAACATTATATGTGCATCAGGAAGGGGGAGGGCTGCAAATGTAAACCAAGAAAACGTGTTTGCTGAGGACAGTAACCACCTCCTTGCCTCTGAAATGACAGAGCAGTGACAAACCCAGGTGCCAGTGAACAAAGACGGACCCTGAAACTTGCTCAGGCAAACAAGACTTGAAATGCTGAAAAAACTGGGGGGGGGGCAGGAGAAGGGTCCTTAAAAACCTTTGGGAATCTCAGTCTCTGATTTCTTTTTCATGACTGACTCCCATTTCAGTCTTGCTGGTGACCAACACAGCATCTGCACCTACAACACTGATGGGCTCCTGAACACCTCGGGTAAAGGACTGGTTATTGGAGAAAGAGTGCACAGCAGCAGTGCCCTGAATAACCCACAAAAGAGAAGTTACTGTGAAAGGAAATTTCTCATTTTGAGGAGAGCCATCAATTTAATTTAGAATGAGGTGTGTAAAAGAAGGCAGGCTGCCTAATGCCTGCTTACAGCTCAAAATGTGGAACACAAGCCAAGCCAGGCTGAAGGGTTAGTAGGTTTGAGATGGATTAAAGGTTTGCACAGCTATCCATAGTTATATTAAATAGGATTAACAGTGCCAACCACTAACCGGTGGGGGCAGGGGAAATAAAAAGCATGAAGGTTGCTCTGCAGCTGTCCACAGGGTTATACGGACCTTTTGCTGAACGAATTAGCTGCTGGCAGGGCTAACCAGTAACCTAGCCAGGCTGGTCTGTCCTGAGCTGCTCCGTCTGCATGCCAGCAAGCTCATTTATCTCCTTTAACGGGAGGAAAAGACTCAGTCTCTTTCTCTGACTGTCCACACTCTGCAATGGAGATGCAGAGGAGTTACAGGGCTGGGAGATTCCCTGCCCTATATAAATTAAGCAGGCGCGTCTGCCACGCTTGGAACTCGCCTCCCTGCTATGTTTCAAAAGGGTGCGTACGTGTAAAAGAGAGGAAAAGAGCAGCTGAAGGAGGAACGAGAGGTGGCGAGCCATTGCTTGGGGAACACGTGTCTGTGTAATAGGGAAATTGGAGCTTGTGGGCAGCGCTGGCTTCGTCCTGTGGCTTGTGATGCTGCGTGAGCGCGCTGGAAATA